AGAGTCCTCTGTCAGTGGTTTCTATGAAGATATTCACCCATTAGGAGGATATGATTCGATCAGAACATTCTGTTAAAACGGAAAGCCACCTCGCCCTATCGGTAGGAGTTTTTCTTGGTTTAGAATTCTTCTTCATTGCCGGAATTCAGTCAAATACAGGTGGTCAAAATGAACCCTCGTTTTACAGCCTTAAATCAATGGAAGAGAGCAAGTACATTTGCCATTCAGCTCACTTTTTATACACCTGACTCAAATTAAATTTAACAGAAGTAAAGGAGAGATAGTACATTACTTATTAACATCATGGGAATCTAACTTTATGTAGAATTGCCGATACAAGCGAAAATGCGAGTTCCAAGAACTAGTTGATCAGAAGAAGAAGCGATCACTGGAACAATGACTTTATTCGACTGACGTTTCGGATTCTGACGTTCTCGGATGCTGAGAATCCGAAACGTCAGGCGAATAAAGCCATTTATGTAGAATGTTAGACATTATGAACATTTGGGTAGTATCGATGAAACACGAGATTTTTTTGCTTTGCCATGCTCCTGCCATTCACAAGAGCAAATCTGAATTGGAAAGACGTATAAAGTTCTATGGTCTTGAGAATCACCCAATAAGGGTAATCTGAAATACTTTCTTTTAGATCGAGGCTAGAAGATTCGGCTGGCCATGGGAGACCTGGTATCCCCTGAGATCTTACGAAGTCCTCAGCCGAAAAATCCACTTTTTGGTCCAACCCATACCACATACACCACCGTGGGGACCAGTTCACGCAGGCTATGTAGGGCTTCCGCCCAACCGTGGGAACTTCGATTGTCTTCTTGCCCTTAGGCTGTTTATTCGAACCCCTAGCAGCGTACGGATAGATTCTTGAAACCACCGTTGACTGGACGAAACCGAAGAGAATACAAACCCACAAAATGCGATTGGTGAACGCACTTCCAACATAAGCCAATATTACCGATTGAAATCGAAGGACAACTGGCCTCTGGTTCAGTGTTTTGAGCGTTAAATTTACGAACACCCAAAAAACACTCGTCCAAAACTTGGGACACGCATTTACTCCTAGGGCGCATTGGAAAATGCAAACAGACAACTGTTCAATTACAGCAGGTGGACTAACTTAGGAAATGTCAACCAAAATCTCGAAATGCGTTCTCGTTTCGAAAAGACTAATTAAGTATGGTTGTATAATCATCTTGCAGCATAATTTTAAAATAATCCAGCTACCTCAGGGTGTAGGCTTTCAAATGAACTGCTTTTTGACTGCATGCAAGAACTACACTTTGCAAAAATGACCAATCAAGTGGCGTGCATTTTTCTCATCGCTTTTCCATGCCCTTAAAAATTTAATGATATTTCATGGAAACCATGCATAAAAATACTTGTTCTTTTACTTATTCGTAAGAAAATTACGCCTTCCTCCGATTTTGTACTCTAAAAGGGTATAATTTGGTCTAAAAAGTTTCTAATTGTGAGACTTTTTAATACCGTGGGCTAGCCGTCCATAAAAATTCATGCAGCTGCATTTACGAATGTGGCTTGTAAGGTTAGCAATATTGCTCAAATCCACTGCTTAATTTTATGAACCCCATGTGTTCTCCTCTTAATACAGTAGAAAAATGCATGGATTTGCGTACGAGAAAAATATACGGCTTGTAGTTTAGGAAACCTGAATGTAAGTGTAACAGCAGGTCGGATTCAAAATTATTCGAGAATTAGAAAAGGTTTTAAAACCTAATTATATTATGCCTTTGAGTATAAAATCGGAAGAAGGCGTGATTTTCTACCAAATAAGTAAAAGGATAAATGTTTTTCTTCATGTTTTTCATGAAAGATAATTGACTTTTTAAGGACATCGAAAATGAATTAGAAAAATGTATGCTACCCAAGTAGTCATTTTTTGCAGAGTGTCGTTCTTGTATGCAGTCGGAAATAAGTTCATTCGAAAGTAGACAGTCTGAGGTAACTAGATCATCATAGAATCATGCTGCATGTCGATTAGTTTAACAACCCTACTTAATTACTATTTTCGAAACGGGAACGCATTTCGAAATTTCGGTTGACATTTCATGCGTTAGCCCACCTACTGTAGGCATAAGACGACCGGGTACACAGGCTGGCTTTGGCTGTTTTTTGGTCTTTGTAGGTGCCGTCACGTTTCTATCCACCTACGGTATTTATCCCACTGACTGACTGTGAAGTCCGTTTTTTGGTTAAATATATAATGGCTCCCGATGACGGCAGTTCGGCAGTCGCAAGTCACTGCCTCCACTCTGTGTCTGACAGAGTGATCGCAACGACCGGTGACTTGCACGTTAATTAGCCTCTGCTGGGGCACACTTACGCAGAATCTACTACTTTTATAACCCCTTACTCACCGGGCAGCAGTAGCAAGACACTTTCAAGACAACCGCGGGCGCTACATGACCCGTCTACGCGTGCCGCACACGGTCTGACCGTCGCGGCGTGTACTTAACCTCCCCTTTTCAACCCCGAAAAGTGCCAGGTCGTCTCACCAATTGAAATCCGTCTGAGGTATGACTCATAGCGCGTCGTCGTACATCCAAATGCGTAAGATTTACTATTTTGAGGAATGTGCTTTTTTGCCATGCAGATGAATTCCTCAGTGTCAGCCTGCTTTACTCTCCCATGCATCAGTCGACTGTCGGGGCCTGCCAACCAACGGCTGTTGGGATTTGGCGCATTGGCCGATGCGGCGTGAATGCTAACTTCCCTTGCGTCTCGTTACACGGATGTACGGCAGTAATTGCAAGTTCGCTCGTGCTCAGAGCGGGCAGATTAATTATTGCTGCAAGTCCGTCCAACCTCCCTTTTTGGCGCAGTGAATCCGCAGCGCAGCCCTTGTAAGCGCTACGTCATCAATAAATACCCATCAGATTGGCAAGTCGTGGCGGGCACAGCGAACAGACGACCATCAGACATGATTCGCAGCCACCAAAATAGTTGTCCACGCCGGAAACAAAACAGGCCGAGAATTTATTGAAGCCTGGGTCTCGGATGAGAACTCAGTTAATCGGTTTATCGATCTGGCGCCGGCGTACAGAGCCCTGCGCAGTCACCTCCAGTCTTGCGTCGTCGGTCGAGGATGAGCGTACGGACACCATAACTGTCGCTTGTCCTGGTGCTGCTACTTCTCTGATGATGGATCCCTGCACGGGTTAGAAAGATCAGAGCAATAAAGTTCTCCGATGTTCGACCACCTTTCGTAATTTAAACACACATTTAAAAAGAGTCATGCATCATTTTTTTTCTAAAGATTCAATCACTTAATGCTAAAACGAACAAGCTGTTCAACTGGGATACATTGGTGGAGAAAAAGCAGGGGCTGGTACATTTTTGATTTTCCGGTACGGCAAACAGATGAAATCGTTTATCGAATGTGTTGGTGGATCCAAGCGGAGACGCTGGAAACTGAACTGAAGAGGCGATAGGATTCGCTACAACGATGACCCCAGTAATGTCCGATAATTCCGTGAAGGAACCAACGGTCGGTTTCTGCATTGTGGCAGTAGAGACCGCTCCCCTTGTCATTTGTGCAAACAGCCTAATGGAACAGAGATAAAGGAAGACGTATCAATTTTGTTTCACGTTCAAATCCCCTTCCCCTCCCTACAGAATTATCCGACAAGGAATGTAAAGGTACAAAGTAAAAAAAGGATTTAAGTTGACTGAGGACTACGGAAATCGCGGAGACCTACTGTGGGCCTGCTCTTGAGTCATGAAATTGTTGACGAATTCTAACGTTGTTTTGGAAACTAAATGACAAAATAATGAAAAAGTTGGGCGCCTATTTTACTCCTACTTGTCATATTTTTCGACTGAGTTGATAACCTCATCTAGGCGCATTGTTTTATGGCTAATGCTCGAAAACCCGGCAACTACCGCCAATGCTGCAGTTGTTCATCCTCCCATAACTCAAGGATGATTTTAACTAAGTGTCGGGTATTGCAATCGACGTCAGTAAATACGGAGTTTTATACTGGGCTGAAACTGTAATGAAACGAAAGAAATATTAAAATGCCCTTCTCCTTCCTTTATTTCATCCAAAAAATAAAAGAAACGGTGCACTCAGAGACTAGCACGGCGCACCTGGCTCATACTCATAGACCTGGAAAACGCCAATGAAACTTTCGATTCGCCGTGTGATTTTCTCATACTTCATTTTGCAATGTTAACGAGTACGAACTGCAAAGGTCTTCCGAGATTGATCTTTCATTTGAGAAACGCTTTGGATCCTCGATTGGTCAATATGATTAAACATGTGACCCAGTTTTCCGAGGTTGCGCCGAAGGACATTGCGGAGGCCTATTTTCCTCCATTCTCGTTTTCGTTTTCGGAACTTTCCCTAGTATCATCCGAGCATGCCCTCTCTCGCAGTTTATGTTACTGTTGTCGGTCGATGATGTGGCTTCTAGACTTTGACAGAAATGTTTTCGCACTACTGATGGCTTTTTAGCTTCAGTGACATAGTTTTTCAATTACGCTTGCTACCGCATCTTGAGTGGGTATGTGTGATTGGGAGATCGCGACTGTACTGTCAGGCAGATTAATGTTAACTTGGATCACTTAGCAAGCAGGGACTTGTCAGTAGTGTTCTTGTTTCCCCTCTCTCCAAGCCTCCTGGCGCCATTCATTTCCACCTCGCAGCCAGTACGCTCTCTCGACGGATAACACGTCACCACAACTAGCACTATCTTGATGTCATACCTACTCAACCCCAGACGTAATGCCGCTCGCAGCAGCATGAAAATTCGGTCGTCGCATCTGACGACGTTCACTGTCTGTTCCACAGCAAAGTGAGAGCAGGTACGGTGACTCACGCGTGAGTGAGAGTGAGAGTGAACTTGCGCAGGATCTACCGCACTCTTTCCTTCTCCTCACCTGCGCCCGATGTCAAGACATAGTCAGGACGACCGAAGGCGGGAGAGGGCGCACGTGGCTGGCACAGCCGGACCCGCCCCTAGCCATACTACCACACGCCCTGGTCCACAACAAACGCTTGACCAGGATTTCAGCAAACAACGGAAATCGGTCAGAAATAGCAGACATGAACACAGGTCACTGAGTAACCATGAACACAGCCTATTTACCCAGCGGGAGCGCAAGCGCATCTAACGGCAGGAAACCAGGTGCCACAGGACTGCCAACGCATACCGGGTTGTGAGGATCACTGTTTGCTGAGCCATGTCATAGCAGACGCATACAATCCTTAAAGCCCTTGCAGGAAGATGACAGTTCGACCGTCGATTCCGACGATGTCCACCGTGTGCTAGACAGCAAGTGCAGCAAGCGTGACAACTTGCGCGCGAACTATTTTATAGTGCTAGTAGACCTGCGCAGCATCATCCGCCCTCCCTCTTCCCCACTCTCAACCTGGAGTCGGTGTTAATACAAAGTCAAGAAGATGGGAGGCGGGGAAGGGAGCAGGTGGCTGGCACGCTATTTCTCCAGTCTTGTCTATCGGAATCCTGCTATAGGACAGCTGTCGACTTCATTAAGCCGAATTGTGGGTCGCACAGTCAGAGCATGCTTGCGGTAGCATCACACATCTGTCACGGTCCTCTAAAACTTGGCTCAAAATGCGGCTGAATAATTCACTCTGTGAGGAAGCCAACCAGATTAATCTGTGCACTGAACTTATGCTTTTATGTGGCTTCCACCAAGAGTTTTTTGTCATTGTACCTTTCGAACTGGTGATAAGTCCGAGAAACGTTTTAATTAGAGGTTTTATGAAGCGTTTGTAAGGTAATCCTGTTACCCTACTGACCATTCCTCGTTTGCTTAACAAGCCCTGGTTATACCTGTAATTGTAACTGCGCTTTGATTTGCTGAACGTTGGTCTCATTTGGCAGTCTTCTTCGACATGTAACAGCAACTGAGCTGAAAAACATAAGAGCTTCAACGCAGCACCAAATTTTAACGTGAACATTTGTTGTCTAGATGCATTTATTTCTCTGGATAATGCCTTTTAGATATCCAACCTGCAGAAAAGCACTTCTTCAGTATAGTTTACCTCTGAAGGAAGTGATTCATTCCAGTTTAAAAAACGTCGTCACTTTGCGAAATTGTATGATTCTCACATGATAACTCCGATTTACTAATGCCGGTCACAAACTAGATACCATGTTGAGTTCACCGGAAACACAGAGATTAGTTGGGGTAAGGCGGACCATCAAACCCTATGCATTTGACTTCTGCTGGGTATGTGATATCTCACTTGCTTCATTTACCTTGCAGCAGTCCGTATTGTATGCAGTTTGAATCATTCCCCGAAATTCGACCGATGACTCCCCCGTTTAATTGGTCAAAATCTCATGTTTACTCACTTTGCTGACTCCACCAGCGCAGATAAGATGCTCCTTGTCCGGATTCAAAGACCATCGCGCGCACTTTTTCGGCGATGTTAGTGTCACCTTGGCCTCCCCAAGACTGGGGGCCATTCCAGCAGCTTTTCTCTGGCGTAAAAATCGGCTGTGGCGACAGCCAAATGAAGCGTAATGTCTTCCAAACAGCCCGTGTGGACCGCCGCGACGATGACGACGTAGAATTCCCTTAGGTGGACAGGGCGAAATTGCACCGGAATCTCCCCAGCCGACGACGTAGCATTTGTCCTTCTTCGAGAGCGTAGTATTGGTGTCCGCGAGGCAGACTGTGTCAACACCGGCCTCATCTTGAGATGCAAGGAGAGTGCAGCAAATATATGTTTATATATAGATGTTCACATTCAAGTACACATAGTCGTTTAAGGGGTGGGAGTGTGTTCAATGAGTTAGAATCCTTGCAGGCAGTCGTATTAAGAGCAGTTATATACGCAGGATGAAGTGTCGACGATGATAAGAGAGAGCTAAACGGTCTCAGTAATAAAATATGTAAGATGCCTACGTGCTTCTCGATTAGAAGTGTTACTACTTTTTATAGTTTTGTCCTGCCTGTTGTTGACCCCTAGTAGGATTCATAAGGTGACATGAATCGAAAAACGTTGCTTGCAGAGAACTCTCTGCATCAGATCTCTGCATACACATGCGAGGCCTAAATGGAGACCCCAGTAGTCTTTGACTGAAGGTAAATTATTCTTTATCATTTCGTCGTTTAGTCAGGATAAGAGTAATTTTTTCTTACCGCGTTTTAATGTTTACGCTGTCGTGGTTTGGGTTCTTTGACAAACAGCTTGCGTTGCGAGACTCCCGCGACCTACATAAAGCCCCTTTTTAGTGGAAAACTATGATAGCCATTGGACTTTTGTGTTTACGCGTCCATGCAGCCAGTCGTAAACTAAATTCCAAACCCTCATTGACGCAAGCAGATTCGTTGTATTTTGGGTCAAAGCACAGACTATCGGCTGCAGATCTATTCACTTTAGAAGACAGAATAGAGATTTTACTGTCAATCACTCCCCTGGTCTATGGTCGTGGGTGATCTATTAAGTAAACTGAACTCCTACTGTAGCTCTTTGCTGTTCACATCTTAGTGAAGTAAAACTTGTTAGAGGGATGTAATTGAAAACGAAATCTAAATTTAAATACAGTCTAAGATCTGACTTCTGACGAGATAGGCGATACAACGAAGAAAGCGCTGACAGGAAAATTAAATTTAATGGCAAAGAATGACGGGAATTTTGCGTTCTTTAGACTCGATCATATTAGCATGGGATGGCAATAGCAGGCAAGCATTGGCACACTGAATACCTATTGCTAGGAGTCGGAAATAAGCACCCCGTATCATAAATGACCTTGAAATGAATTCCAGAGGTTAGGGTCAGGATTGAGGGTGGGGATAGAGAGAGGGCCAAGGTAAGTCTTAATGTTAAAGCTGAGGACAGGGGAATGGGCGCTAGGCGTTCTCACGCGAACTATCCTCTCAATCGCACGACGGACTTATGTCTTTTCACGCAGATCGATGAATAACCATCTCAGTTGCCTCGTCTCTGTCGGTAGCGCCCCTCGGTTACTGATCGCTCGTTGCTATCGATCGTTTGTTCGGGTTCTAGACCCGAAGCGTAAACAGGTCGTAAATCGGTGCTGCCAATTACATCAAGCACTTGCATTTGGTGTCTATTTTTAGGTTCAAGGAAACCCCTGCGATTGTCTGGAATACATCCGGCAGACAACACGATTCACATAAACCTTTCTTCGTGTTCGAAGGTTATTTACTTTACGACAATAAACAAACATTCGTCAGTTGCACGGTAGCATTTTCAACTGTAGGTAGTATTCAATGTGTGCACGCAGGATACACTATGCGCTGAAAATTTGGTCCTATTATAAAGAGGATTACGTAAATGAGGTTTTCCTACTACAGCAATCGTCAATTAGAGACAAATACGAGCAGCGGGCGAATATCTTTAAATGTTTTTAAAGTGCGCAATTATAAGAATGTTCTTTTAAAATCCGTATAGACACTTATTTAATGCTCAAGCTTTGAAAATGCGATTTCCCATTGAATATGCAAAGGTGTTTTTCTACGCATGTATTTCAGTTTAGGACATGTCCATAAGATTTTACGAAGTTATGATGAATTTGAAGATGATTATATATATAAATATCAGTGAGCAGGGACGACAGAGAATGAGGGTAGATTGATACAGTACTGTTTCGGGCTTATTTTGCCTTCGTTCAGCCAATCATAACCATAACCATCAGCAGTTGGGACCAGAAACACAAACATGCGCACAGACGCATCTGGCGCAGTTGGTCCACCACTGGAGTCTATCAGATGGGTCATGAGCATTTCATCGAACTGAAGTTCATCAGTGCCTCGCCACCTGTCATTCTCTGTCCCTGCAGATCAAGCATTTGTTCAATCAGTATATATAAATATATTAATAGAAGCGACTATTCGAGTCCCCGGACATAAGTGTGAAAAAGAGGCGATCCCCAAGGACCTGGCCATCTAAACAGTCAGCGAATTGTTCGAGAGGTAGTATGACCAGGCGGACGAGTCAGTGAAACGGAGACATATAGTCCAACTCCCAAAATTCTGCCTGGAGTCGTACTTCACCTTCGAGGGGACCATGTAGAAACAGGTTATGGGGACACCAATGGGATCGCCTCTCTCCGGCTTAATCACTGAGGCAGTTCTGCAAAAGCTATAGAGCCTGGTTTTTATAACTCACAGGCCAAAGTTTTGGACTCGGTACGTCGACGACAGCTTCGTCATCATCAAACGAGAAATGATGGAGGAATTTCACAGTGTCCTAAATTCCGTTTTTCCGGACATGCAATTCACGATGGAGGCGGAAAATAACCACCAGCTGCCGTTCCAGGACGTTCTTGTCCATCGAAAACCCAACGGGCACATAAAAACGACGGTGTGCAGGAAGTCTACCAACACACGCCAAATCCTTAGTTAGCACAGTAAACGCCCATTAGGTCACAAACGCAGCTGCATGTGAACTCTCTACAGTAGAGCAGAAAGACACTGCAGCGAACCCGATGACAGAACCCGAAGGACAAAACTCCGCTATCCTCAGCGCCCTTACATGGCCAACGGATACCCCCGTAACTTCATCGAGCGCAGCAGGCAGTCTACACCAGGCCGAAATCGGGCGCCAGAACAGCCAAAAGTCTGGCGAGCACTGCCATAAATCGACGGCGTTGCTGAGGCAGTTTCCCGCCTCCTAAGACCTTTGGGGATCGGGATGGCTCATCGACCAGGCTCAACCATTCGAAATTTAGTTATGAGACCGACGGACCACTGTCACGAGGCAAAACGACAAGTGTCATCCTCCGGGTCCAGTGTAACTCTTGTGGAACTAACTACGTCGGAGAGACAGACAAACGGTTACAAACCCGGCTTAAAGAACACATGCGGGCAGTGAAAACCATAGACCCATTGTCTCTGGTGGCGGAACACTGCGCGGACTGTAAACACACTTTCGCCATCCAGAACGCCAAAATTCTGGGTCGAGACAATGACCGCGTAGCCAGGGAAGCAATCGAGGCTTGGCACACGGAGACAACCTCAATAAATCGTTGTGTCGCCCTTGGGGCAACCTATCAAGCCCTCCAGCCGCGGTTCAACGAAATAAAGAGCAAGCGCGAAGTCAGGACGGACGCGAATCCAAACACGGGAGAACCTACGACGGACCTACAGGTAGATACACCGCAAATCGGACCCGACGAAGGCGCAGTCATCAATACTGTTGCCTCAATCACTACACCGGCAGACGAAGAGAAACGCGGTCAGAAGGATGCAATCAAAACTAGCAACCCAGTACGACAACTAAGGTCAACGCGAATGCGGGCGATGACCACCAACGTTCAAATGTCGTCCCCCGACGAGAGACAGGCGGATTGACAGCAGTCATCCTCCCTCCGGTTCTGCCCCTTCGACTACAGAGACGATCCCTGTGTGTATGTGGGTCATTAGCGTCAAAGTCAATTTACCACTCCTCCCGTATAATAACCGCCGTGTTAACATGACTGTCGTCTATCCCCCCTCCCATAAATTATGTGTGGTGCCGTACGATACTCACCTCCGAAGATGAAAGCTTGTCTGCTTTTGAAACGTCAGGACAATACAATTATGGTTCCAGAGATCGCCTCTTCTACTCATATGTATATATGTATTGCTGATAGAAGCGAAGATGCGCGTCCCCGGACATAAATGAGGGGAAGAGGCGATCTGGTAAACAATGGTTGTATTGCCCCGACGTTTCAAAAACAAACAAGCTTTCATCGTCGGAGGTGAGTATAGCAACGCGCCCCACAGTATTCATAGGTGGTGGTGGTGATCTCCTTGCAAGGGATCTACCTCTCGTCGGGGGGGGGGCGGCGTTCGGACGCTAGTCGTCATCGCACGTGTTTGCGTGGACCTTAATTCTCATCCTAGGCTGGCAACTTTCTTTGCGACTCCGCGACCGCCTGTGTGCTCACCTGCCGGATAAATGGCAGTGACGCTGGCACCTTCATCGGGTCCGTTCGTGTTACCGCGACCGTCCGTTGTCTCACCAGCCGGATGAGTGGACCAATCGTGTCATCGCGCGGTGCACCATCCTAAAGTCTGGCAAAATTGCTATTCCGCAACCTAAGGTCCCTCACCTCGAGCGCAGTCACGACCGTCTGTTCAGCAACGCAGTTCCTAGAGTTGCTCAAAGGCATGCGACTCAGCGAAGAATAAATCATGGTGTCATCCGACGTCACCTCTCTCTTCACTTCGATCCCGCAACGTCTAACAGTCGAAACGGTTAGCGAACTGCTCTTAAGCAAGTACGACGTGATAGGCGAAAGTGGGAAACGGGGGCATCTCATTCAACTTCTAAAATTCTGCCTGAAGACGTTTTTTTACCTTTGAAGGGAGAGTGTACGAACAGATCAAGCGGACGCCGGTGGGATCACCGCTTTCAGGTTTAGTCGCAGAAACAGTTCTCTAAAAGATAGAGACCGCAGTCTTCGAGATCTATAGGCAAACTTTCCGACTCAATATGTCGATGACACCATTGTCATCATCAAGCGGTAAGCAAAAACCGGCTACCGTTACCGGACGCACCGGTTCACCGGAAACCAAATTGACAATGGCAGAAACACACTGCAGCGAGCCAGACGACAAAATGTCGGAACTACGCTACCTCCAGCGCCTCCTCATGGCAAACGGGTATACTCGCAACTTCAAAGAACGCAACAGGCAGCCAAGTCAAAGTCTAGTGACAGACCGGCCAAAAATCTGGGTAGAGCTTATATGCATTGATTGCGTCTCTGAGGCAGTCTTCCGTCTCCTAAGGCTACTGGGGATTGGCATTGCCCATCGGCCAGAGTTAACAATTCGACATCTCGTCATGAGACCTAAGACACCTCTGCCACCCGGTGAAATAACAAACGTGACAGATCGAATTCAATGCAGCTCCTGCGAAATGAACAACATCGAATAGACCGGTAAACGAATGCAGGCCCGTGTTGGAGAGCACATGAGGGCGGTTAAGAGGATAGACCCCTTGTCCCTTGTGGCAGAAAACTGCGCAAACCCTGGACACATATTTGCCTTCCAGAATGCCGAAATCCTTGGCCGAGGAAATGACCGTGTGGCCGGAGAAACAACCGAGACCTGGCACACCGGCACGAACTCCATCAACCGCTGTGTAGCACTTCTGGAAGCCTGCCAGGCCCTCCGGACGCAGCTCACAGAACAGAAGAGCAAATATGGGCCACGAGGAGACAGGAACCCAACTACGGCCCGGTCCATGAGGGACACAAACGCAGCTGCACTTCAGCTTGGATCTGGCGAAGGTGTGATCGTCACCACAGCCGCGGCACCTACTTATATGGCAGGTGAGAACGCAGGCGGTCTCGGGGTAGTAAAGAAGATTGCCAGCCTAGGACGAGAATTAAGGTCCATGAAAACACGTGCAATGACGGCTAGCGCCCGAGCGCCGGCCCTCGGACGAGAGTTAAACCCATTGTAAGGAGACCATCACCATCAATAAATATTGTTAGGCGCGGTACAGCGCTCACCTCCGATGACAACAGCTTGTTTTCTTTTAAAACGTCAGGGCAATACATCTATGATTCCCGAGATCGTCTCTTCTTCTTATATATATGCAAATGGTATTTTACCGTACTGCCGACGTAGATACTTGCTAACAGCCCAGACACGTGTTTCGCCGATATACTGCTGCTGCGTGACACAGCTGCGATGGATCCGGCTCTTCAATGGGACCCTTAGCGTTCTGTACGCGGTTTCTGATATATGAACTCCGGAGAATAATTAAGTAAATGACTTCAGAAATTACTCGTGGAACACGCGAAATACGTGTCTGGGCTTTATCAAGAATCTATGTCGGAGTACGCTATAATACCTTTACTACACGGATTTCATACTACTCGTAATAGTACATATTTTTAGAATGGGCATTATGTGGTAATTCTACAGTAGTTGATTGTCTTCGACTCGAATGTTCATTGAAATGTCGCCTATGACACTACAAAGTCATGTCGCGGAGATTTAACTCCAAGTCCTGCACTGAATAGTTTCTACAATTATTCAGTTGAAATATATTTATATATAGAGTAGAAGTGGGATGTATTCCGAGACGATATAGTGAGTCCGAAGAACCTCTTTTTTCATATATATACATATATATTGGTAACAGTACGTTACGGAACATGCCTGTCCCTTTGAGCCTTGGATTTTAACTTAGAGCCCTCATAGGCAGTGACATCACGACTCAAAATCATACCAGAAGCAACACTGACTAAGGCAAGTGAAACTGAGGTAGTTTCTTCTGCTTTATTGACCGTCATCAAACAAAACCGCCTGAAATTTGAAAGCGGAACGTGGGATCCATCAACGACTTAAAATAACAAATAGACCAATACTTATCCTATTGCCCAGGCTTGTTTTGTAGTAAAAACGCCTCCAGTATTGTTTGCTCGTCAAAGTGTGCTTGTCTGTTAGGGCTATAAACCGAGGTTCTAAGGCAAAACGGAACGGCCATATTTTTACAAAATGACTTGAAACCAAAATTAAAACGAAAGTTGCACGGAAAAATAAAGACGGATGAGAATACAGGCGATATAGGAATACAGGTTCTAACAGGATTGTAACCGTGATCATTTTGTACTCTGCATTAATTATGTTTTAGTGATTTTGCGATTACCTCACTCCTAGTGGTTTGACCTTTTGACAGTAATTAGCGCAGCATTTTGGAATTAGAAGTATCTTAGCAAACTTTTTCACCTGGGGACACCGGAACTGCAAGCTTCAACAGGGCGATATCAAAACCACTCTGGCCGTGGAATCGAGGGTACCAGTCGGGATGAATGACTGCTGATTCAACTCTGTACTCGCTCCCCTGAGAATCCTTCTGTGCGCGAGGCTGTCCACCAACGCGAGCAACCATACCAGAAAGATTAAAGGGTACTCCAAGCGGCACAGGCTTTGATAGAAGAATTGGGCGGAGACAGTGAGCGCTTGTCACGATCCAAGATGGCGAGAGTAGGCTACCTCCGCACACCAGCTGTTGCTCAGATTCGACAGGCTGGCTTGATGACTCCTCGTCGTCATCAGCAATGTCATCGTCGTAACCGTCGTTATTCTCTGCATCATCTTCCTCCACCTCGTCTTTAGGGAACTTGGCTTTGTATAACCTCACCTGTGGCGACCAAATAACGTTATATTACTTTCCTCAGAGGTCAATAATGTTATTTGCAGATATCTGTGATTTATACTTCCCGACTAAACTAGCAGTTGATTGTGCCCCTTCTACTGTGATTATACAACGCTAAAGATTCTTAATGATATGGTGACTGCAATAAGTTATCTAGCACTGGATAAAGACATTAAACCGCATCCTAGCCACCTGTAAATTTCCATGTTCCCTACAGTCTAATCATCGTATGACAACAAAATGAAAAGAGATGGCAAAGAGATGAAATGTACAGTATCCAGCAAAATGCTTTTATAGGAAACACTACTTCACCTTCTGTTAGTCATTTTAGGTTACAGTGGTTAAATTGTCTTGTGATATCCTGAGCGATTCATTATGATTTCAAAGAGGAATTCCCTGATTAAAAATAATGAATGATTCACCTGACATGCCTACGTCTTCCTTTATCTATTCCGTCATGGCGGGACCGAATTTGGAACCAAAAAATATATGCATAGGAGTCAGATATGGCATGATGTGGAGATAACCATCAGTGCATGTGTGGTCACTCGAAAGTTTCCGGTCAAAAAGGAGTGGAAGAGGACGTCTCACTCACATGCCATGGCCACATGTTTCTTTTGGCAGCACGACCGCCGGACTGTGCTGCTTCCGTCGCGGGGCGAATACCACAAGTTAGAGAAAGACGTCGAAGCGTCTCCGACGGTCCGGCTGTAGAAGAGAGGGAAAGGCAAAGCGCACGGATACTGTTACTGTTATGAAGACGAGACACCAAATTACAAGCTACTGCTGTACATGAGACATGACTCGACCAACCTGGAAGTAGAATCACATCAGATAACAGCATGTGTGGTTAGTGGCTGAGCTCATAAAATGTTACCCGAAATTCTGAAATAGAAATATTACTTATGTGGGACTGTAGTATTGATTATCTCACGGCAAAATCCCACGTTAATCAGAATACGCCTGGACGTTGGCCATCAAATGTACATGTTTTCGACCTCCTGTAAAAACTGTACGCGGCAAAAAACGGTCACTTAACTGATATGCACTTTTATGGATTTCCGATGCCCTTAACAATGCAAATACATTTTTCGAAGGAATTTACTAAAATGTCCCTTTTTGTAACCACAAAGTGGAAACCCACGTTTTTTTTCAACTTTTCTTGCTTGGAGAAAGTGTCTTTTGTTTTTAAACAAATTTTTCTTATGAAATTTATAAGACCGTGCAATTTCCATTCAAATATTATTGTAATTCTCTGTTCAATAATGTTCCTCCTAAAGTATGCACCATGAGCCTCGTCCATTGCAACATTTTATGAGCCCTGTATTATATCTTCTTAGTGATTTAAAAGGATTTTTTAACATAAAAAGTATACAGTTTATAGACTCGAGACCCTTAGCGCAGGTACAGTGCAGATTGAGTTCAAAATCATTCGAGAACCAAAAAACCTTTTTTAAAAAATCAAAAGATATATTTGCTTCCAGCACAATATGCGAGGAAGCTGTATCCATTTTGTATATATCAATTAAGCGATCATTTTTGCCGAGTCTGGTTTTTGCAAGCTGTCGAAAAGACGAGCAGTCCCACATAAATAACCCCCCCTGATCGAAAACACATTTCAGAGGTTCGACTAGCATTTCATGAGGTCGGTCACTGGTGTTGGAAAAAATTCTGGCAGGACCAGCTAATATTAAATTCGATCATGACGGTAAAAACCGATTATGTCTTATCATATTGCGATCAAATACACATAATAGCGGATCGATATAGCTGCAACGGATGCACGCTGGACGGAACCTGCATTACAAACAGGCATCGACTGGTCATCACAAACTGACGCACATTATTGAAAAAATAAATTAACCCCGACGCTTAAACAGATGAATAGCATAACCCACAAAGCGAAAAACCGCAACCATGGTGGTGCTCTTTCTCCCGCACTAGAAACTGTATATTCTTAATTACTGACTCTCAGTGGTTGGTTGTGAGTTACTAAATCACTAAGAACGCGTTACTCCTAAGGTGCGCTCTTGCGCAATCGACAGTTTACACTTGTTTGCAAGCCCTTTTACTGTAGTGGCGCATTTATCTTAGGCCAGTTTTTAAGCTCTCACGTATTCGTACTGCCAGCGTCCACCGAACTCGGTTTTCGATGGGAGTTATGTTAGACAGCATTAATCACCAAGAAGCAAAAAAGTGTCCTCCCGTGTAGGGCGAAGACCTTTCCTCACCAGTTACGTTCATTGTTCATGAAAACGCATGTCTCCGAGGGGGTCTGAATCAGCAGTGTGTGGCCATCCACGGTCTTCATTGCAGATCGGTCGCGGGAGTACCGTTGGTAGATGATCAAAGTGAATGCTGTAACTGCATTGCTAGTCTTCTGTGGAGTCTGGGATTATACGACTATTTACTTATTTGTCATTCCGCTTACAAAATTTTAAAATTCCTTTAAGCATGCTTATAACAGAAATCCTCATTGGATCGATATGCAGAACATCGGGCCATTGGACAGCCTAACATTCGGGTTGGGTGAAAAGGAAGTGAAAATAACTTTAAATTCTGAATTTACACCTTTTGGAATCTGCAACTCAGCAACTTGAGAATATTATGCTACTTATAACAATTTAGCAGGATGAAACATTGATGACTTAATCAACAACACTCCCTTAAAGCAGAAGCTGGAAAATCAGAATATTTAAAAAAAGGGGCACGCAAATTTGCAACATGGAGAGAGTACAGACGATAGCTACGAAGATGGTCAAGAATCTGCCTTAGAAAACCAGGCTGGCCGAACTAGATCTGTTTCCTCTCAATTACAGGCAAACTCATTCAAACCTCCAAGACTGTCAGAGGCCGTGAATGTGCCCTAGATTTTGACGGATCCCTCACATTGGCGGGGACTGGTCGTCTGCATGGCCAACCCTTTAAACTACGGAGAAAGCTGGCTCATACGGACGTCCGATGGAACGCCCTCACGATGGGGGCCATTGCAGCATGGAATGGGCACCCTGATGCGGTGGTCCTTTCCAAAACTGTTGAATCCTTTAAGTGCAGATCAGACGCTCATTTACTGAGACACTACTGTACATATAATCACGGTTGTGTTAGTGGCGGCAGTTCGCACCTGACTCACACTTACCGTTAACTTCTGAACTTTCAGATTTACTGATGTAACAATTGATTCTACTTCTGTTTATTGATATGAGTAGGGAGCTCAAGGGTGAAGGCCTCATTCCCTTAATAAACTGACTTAAACCGACTAAACAAGATGGCGCTACAGACAGATCGGAAAAAAGTGTCCGTTTCGTCCACCCTGATTAGTAACGATGCCGTAAAATAACTGACAATCAGCAGTTTTTTACATACCGGCAGAAATCACGCAAGCAGGTGGTTAAAAAGTTTAAAAATGATAATATTCCACACACCGTTTTCAAGGCACTCTGATGCATCTGGGCACCTTCTTTCCTCCCTGATGTATTTGAATGGACAGAAGTTCCGTCTTCGAGGGTTAGCGACGCGTTTGGTGAAGGAGTCGTCGACACACTGACGGAAACGAAGCTGCTTGCAGGAATAGCGTGAACAGTTGCCCCACTCCGTCCAATTTGAGTAGAGGTCGGCGTTGTAGGCGAAGGTGTGTCTTTGCAGATCGGTCTCACTTTCAGCACCCAGAGCACGCAAAGCCTCCCGACCTTCCTTTCGACTACGATCAGGGATCTGTAGAGGGGACATGACAGGTTCCGGACGGAAGTTTTAGTCGACCAAAGGCAGATTTCATGGCTAAACTAGATGCCATAACTGCAAGGATACTTTAAAGTACATTTTTCAGGTCGGACGCAGAAAAATTACCCCCTCCCCTTCGTACCGCAGGTGGTCTCGCTGAATTACGAGGGGGGATATCTGGTACAATAGCTCAAATTTATTCCCATAAATCTAACCCTAACCCCCCTAGCCCGGACATTAACTCTGGCGCTTAACCCCCTGGAACTTAAAGAAAGGCCATCTGTAGAACAGGAACTCCCCATTCTCTTAAGTAGCCAGCATTATTCAAGGGAATTTACAACACGAATTGAATTAAAATTAGTATAAATTGACTTAAGCACGGCAACTTGCTTATTTTTAGCTAACTGACTTTGCAGCCGTCACTGCAAACCGCATTTTGATATTAAAAAAAACACCAACTTCAGTAACGAGTACTTTTTATTGATTACAACTTATAGGAATTCCGTCCAAAAACACGTTTTACCTGAAGCAAATTCTCAAAATAATGAAGTGTTCTGTTGTGAGAAGATTGTAGTTAGATGAATTTTTCCTATGATCGCAGGATTGTTCACGTAGTTTTTTTCCAGTTAGCTATATCATGTTACATTTAAAGTGTTCAACATGGACCATGGTTAGTATTTAAAGAGGTAAGTGATAGCAATATACTTCATAGAAATATGAAATGATTTACGAATTTGCTTCCAAGATTGCACACAGAGCGCTCTTTTAAACATTCACAATGAGCAAAAAAGTTTTTCACTATAAATAAGTAGAGAGCAAGTATTTATCTATTCCAAAATATGAACTAGTCCATCTGTCTAAGCAAAATAATTTACAAAGTTGCAATAATCCTCGGCAGGATCAAGAGAAACGACTTGAATTCCCTCTTCTTAAAGAGCTATGCTTTCCTTTGTACAAACATTGAATATCCTTGGAGCAAACGCATGCAAATAAGCAATCAAAACGTTTCCGCTAAGGTGTCAATGTCACTTAACTACTGGAACTAACTTGTTTCTTTCAGTTTAAAACCCTTACACTGCGGTCTGTAAGACACATAGGATTTATTGGTGCCTTTTACAGCTGAAGCATCCGATTTTTAGTATGGCTTGACGCCAGCCACAGGCGCACAGGAGGAGAGTTGAGTATCTCGATAGTGGTGACCTTCATGTTATTATGTATATACATGAATTAGACAGTGGAGTATCTGGAGTTTGGCATACACAGGTGACTATTAAAGTTACCTGTCACTATCAGTAAGCTAAAATTCATGACTTAATCTGATACTTCGCGCTTTTCAGTGCTGCGACCTCACTTACAGTAGGTGGGCTAACTCATGAAATGTCAACCGAAATTTCCAAATGCGTTTCCGTTTCGAAAAGATTAATTAGGTAGGGTTGTAAAACTAATTATTGTTCAGTATAATTCTGTAATGACCCAATTATCGCAGGGTGCCGGCTTTCGAATGAACTAATTTCCGAGTTCATGTAAAAACTGCCTTCAGCAAAAATGACTACTTAAGTAGAATGCAATTTTCTCATTAATATTCGAAGCCCTTAAGAGTTCAATTATATTTCATGAAAGAACTGGACAAAAATATCCATTATTTTATCTATTCGGTAGAAAATCACGTCTTTTTCTTAATTTTATACTCGACAGAAGAGTATAATTCGGTTTTAAAAATTATTTCCGATTCCCGAATAATTTGGAACCCGACCTGTTGTTATACTTGCATTTAGGGTTCCGAAACTACAAGCCATATTTTTTTCGTGTACAGAAAACCACACATTTTTCTACAGTATTAAGAGGAGCTCATACTGGGTTCATAAAATTAAACGGTGGATTTGAGCAATATTGTTAACTTTACAGACCACATTGCTAAATGCAGATACATGATGCTATTTGAATGGCCACTTTATGGTATTAAACAATCTCACAATTAGAAACTTTTTAAAACCGAATAATACTCCTTCTTCGAGTATAAAATTGAAAGACGACGTTATTTCCTACCGAATAAGCAAAAAAGGAATATTTTTATACATTTTTTCAGGAAATATAATTGCACTTTTTAGGCATCGAAAATCAATGAGAAAATTGCATGCTACTTAAGAGGCCATTTTTTGCAGAGTATACATCTTACATGCAGTCGAAAATAAGTCCATTTGAAAGTAGGCTCCCTGCGGTAACTGGATCACCATAGAATTATGCTGTATGATGATGAATTTTACAAACATACTTAATCAATCTTTTCGAGACGCGAATGCATTTGGAAATTTCGGTTGACATTTCATAAGTTAGCCCACCTAATGTAGGGCGTCGCTTACTTTGAATGCATTCCGATAAATCCTGATTCCTTTTTAAAAATAGGCACAAGAGGAGTAGTAAGTGCCAGGTAGTCAGTCAAGAGGTTTTTTATAAAGGAGCAAAACTTAACAGGCAGATGACAAATACTCCGTCCTACCAGTTGAATTGTATCCAGAGGCAGTTCGGTTAGGGGTTGTTCGGCCACCTTCGCGAAAGTTGCTTGAACGGCACAGAGAAGCGTGACCAGCGCAATGGTCAAGAGTGTCGACTTCATACTTGGAGACCTATTGACTTCACCGCATCGAGAACATTTATATGCGCTCCCGGTCACGGAGCTAGAGAGAGCGCTCTTCCAAATATAAACAACACCAGCACCGTTTTCGGGCCGTCAGTTTTCGCTTGCGAATTCATGTCCACTGCTCGGCTGCTTGCGCGTCTACCCCACCTTTCCGTATTCAGTGTCAGTCGCATATTCTAAACAAATATAAGCACACCAAACTTTGCCCGCATTTAAATTAATGGCGAACGGGATCGTTTGTTCAGAGTTCTTTTTGTGTCGCTTTTCCCGATTTGGAGCTACGACGCGGTTTGGAACCATTGCGGTCAGATAGATTTCGTCAGGAGCGATGATCAATCAAGTGCTGAGAGCACGTTCCAAGGGGAAAGTAATTATTGCGAAAATGAAGTAGGTAAGAATTGTGTGGTCTAATTCTCTGGTAAAGGGGCCAGGATGATTTCGCATCAGCGGTTGTCAAATAGTAACAATGAGGTCGCAAGCCAGACTTATTTCTTGTGTTCGGATTCCTGAGGAATTCAGTTCTGAGGATATAGACAGGACTGATATTTTGTGATAATGATCAGAAGTGGCATTACGTGAGGAGAGGTTAATAAACACTGCCGGCAGATAAAAAAGCACTAAAATGACCAAATCGTTCTAACTCAAATCCTGGACGCAGATGTAGCTGGCTGGTGACGTCCAATAAGTCGGAAATGGCCATTCCAATCTCCCCTTTTGCTTGTCGGTAATGTTATTCTGCCTAGAATGCTAGCCACTGTGTGGCTGCTGGTGGGGCTATCGACTGAGCTTCAAGGCACAATGGGACGAGTATGTCCGCTAACGCGATCGGTCAGCACTCCTCTATCAAAAAATCCGTTTACGATCGAATGGTATTCTCACCCCCATAATACGGAACCGCCTAATCTCGACTGAGATTAAGTGTACTTGGTTACACTAGAACCCAATCGACGTCAATCAACATGAAATTCACGGCTGACAGCGTCGTTCGAGGAGCAGATACTGTAGGCTTCAACCACGAACCTGCAGCCTGGCGTTGTGATATCACTGATTGGTATGGGCAAATAACCCTGAAATATCCCGTGCAACGCCCAGGCTTCGTTGATAACAGTTCTCGATCATTGGATGCTGGTCACCAAGTGACAAACCGCAGAGATTATCAATCCTCATGTCTGTGGTTAGGTGGAAATACTCGTTTCCGTCCGACAATCAGAACAGGTCGCGGACATAAATCCCGCTGTCAGTGAGGAAGGACTTCCACGAAAACTTTGTGGTCATAAGATTAGTTGCAGTGAGTGACCGATCTCATGAAATGTTGGCTGAAATTCTGAAATGCATTTTCGACTAGGAGGGATTACTTAGGTGGAATTTTGATACTGATTATCTTGCGGCATTATCCCATAATAATTCGGACTTGGCAGGATGTCATCTTTTGAATACACTGCTTTTCAACCTACCGTAGAAACCGCAACTGCTAAAACATGACCACGCAAGTAGCATGCATTTTTCTCACTGATTTCGATGGTCTTGACAATTGAAGTATGTTTTATAGAAACCACGATAAAAACCTGTTTTTTTCATTCGTTTGATAGAGAATCACGTCATCTTAATATTTGATACTCGAAAGAGTGTAATTAGGACTTTAAAAAGTTTCTTATTATGAGATTTTTTAAAACCCCGAAATGTCCATTCATATAGCATTGTACCTGTCTGTTTACGACTGCTCCTCGTGAAATGTACAACATAATCCGCATCCATTGCAAAATTTTATGGACTCTATATGATAACTTCGCTAAGGCATAGAAGAATATGTGCTTTTCTTCACGCCGAGCGCATGAACCTTTGAACGACTGATCTGGCTCCAAATTATTCGGCAATTATAAAACTTCTTTAAAACCTAATTATACTCTCTCTTCGAGTACAATATACAAATATGACGTGATTCTCTATCAAACGACTGAAAGAAAGCATGTTTTTGTTCGTGGTGTCTCTTAGATATATTCGTATTTGCAAGACCATCGAAAATCATTGAGAAAATGCATACTACTAATGTGGTCATGTCTTACCAAGTGCGGCTTTTACAGGAGTTTGAAAAGCAGTGTATTCAAAATTTGACATCCGGCTAAGTCCGAAGTTTCATAGGATTATGACGCAAAATAATCTGTATTACAACCGCGACCAAGTAATCCTTCCTAATCGAAAACGCACCTCAGAATTTTAACCAACATTTCGTGAGATCGGTCACTCACTGTAGTTATGTTCTCGACGCAAACTCTGAGTCACTGAAGGTGCCTTATCAAACCCATTATCTGGTGTTTACGGTTATTGTAAAATTACCTTCTCTGATGAATGCTGTTTTCAGATGTGTCGGAAAAGTCTCTTATATGTTCTTCGCATAACAACAATAAGCGCACAGCATATATTTCATAAACTTAGCAAACTGAGGGGTGCAGATTCGTACGTTGAGGCAGACGGAGTACACGCGGTGAATTCTGTGACTTACTTATAATAATTTTTTATTACCCACAGCCCTGAATTTTTGTTCTACTAGCGTCTCTTCACTGACTTTTCACGGAAAGAGTTCTCATTATTTAAAACAAGCATAGACAGCAGAATCTGTTGGAACCAATAATCTTCGCGACGACTTATCAACTGAAGTCTGTCGTTGCATAAAACATAGAACAAATGGAAACGATACAGAGGTTTGAACTTTCACAGAAAAAAAAACAACATGAAACAGCAAGGTCATCGTAGACTGAACGCAAACTAATAAATACAATGGTATCTTGAAAATGCAACATAGGAAAGAAGATGAGGAAGTAAACCGCAAAGGGATTGCGCAAATCAAATTCTGCGTCTATGCATGCTTCAAATTCGCATTGCTTCAAGTTAACCCTATGTTTGTGGCCTTAAGAATCGGGGAGAATTCTCTAATTTTTTAAACCAGTTAAGACCGCTACCGTCATACGCACGAGAGTTTGCTCGTCGTTACCGACGATATCCACCGCGTGCTCCGCAACAGGATGAGAGCAGAGACAGTGACATGCTTGTGATTTCTCCTATAGTGATAGTGAACTTGCGCGGCATCTACCGCACTCTCCCCTCCTCTCTTACTTGGGCCCAGTGTCGTGAAAGAGTTAAGAAGAACGGAGGCGGGAGATGGCGTAAGTGGCTGGCACGCCGAAAAACCGCACCTTGGTGTACCATCACGCGCCCCTCCGGTCCACAATATGCACTAGCTGGAAGGTAATACACAAGAGAGGAGAAAGGGCAGCTCGGATCCCACTAGGTAAGAGGGCGATAGAGGTTACTATAAGAGGGGGTCATTGCAGCTTGACTGTTAGTCCACCAGTCCGCCGTTCCACACAACACACACTGGACTGACTGCAAGGTCCTATTTATCCCGTCATTTGGCAACCTTCCAGGCCACGGTGTTTAGCGTACTGTGATAGATTCAAGAGCGCCAGACTGTTTATAATGAGGAAGATACGCTAAGATCATCGATCTCAGCTTCTCGTTCTACTCCCAGATACCAGGCATCTTTTCGAGCCGGAGGTGGGTGAAGTGGCTGACACACTTCCCTATTACGTGATTGTGTTGTGAGATGATGGACGTGGCCGGGGGGTGTCGAATGCACTGGTGGGGGGCAGAATTTGTGGTAGGGTATAGTCGGTGATGTTCTGTCGCAGGTTTTTTGGAGGTGAATGTGGCCACATAGGCCCATGCGATGGCTGAATGTGCGAGGCAGTGCGGTCAGTTGAGGCGATGGCAATTGGCGTGTCTGTGCTCCAGGCACTGGGTCGCCAGTTTCTGTGCGATGGATTTGCAAGTTACCTACCAGGCCGATGCGTGGGGTGAACGTGCAATGACGGTTTGGGTCAGCTGCCGTTGTGGTGCTGATAGTGGTGAGCGCTCTGGTTGGTGGGAAGGATAAAGTTGGTGGATGTATGAGATGTGCAATGTGTGTCGATTATTCGGTGAATTTCGTTGTTGTGGATACGCATGTGGCCGAACATGCCCATGCGGTTAAGGAATGTGCTTGGACAGTGTGAGCAGTAAAGTTGGATGCGGCCTGGTGTGTGCTGCAGCTCCTGACGCTGGGGCGTTGGTCGCAGTGTGAGGGATTCGCAAGTGACCTATCAGGCAAATGCGTGAGGTAAATGTGCAATTGCAACGAGGACAGGTTAGGATCGAGTCCGCATCGCAGGAGGTGGTGGTGCCAGTGGTGGTGGTGGTGGTGGTGG